CTCTACTGCTACGGTTGACGTCTCTAGAACTCTACTGCTACGGTTGACGTCTCTAGAACTCTACTGCTACGGTTGACGTCTCTAGAACTCTACTGCTACGGTTGACGTCTCTAGAACTCTACTGCTACGGTTGACGTCTCTAGAACTCTACTGCTACGGTTGACGTCTCTAGAACTCTACTGCTACAGTTGACGTCTCTAGAACTCTACTGCTACAGTTGACGTCTCTAGAACTCTACTGCTACGGTTGACGTCTCTAGAACTCTACTGCTACGGTTGACGCCTCTAGAACTCTGCTGCTACGGTTGACGCCTCTAGAACTCTACTGCTACGGTTGACGCCTCTAGAACTCTGCTGCTACGTTTGACGCCTCTAGAACGCTACTGCTACGGTTGACGCCTCTAGAACTCTACTGCTACGGTTGACGTCTCTAGAACTCTACTGCTACGGTTGACGTCTCTAGAACTCTACTGCTACGGTTGACGTCTCTAGAACTCTACTGCTACGGTTGACGTCTCTAGAACTCTACTGCTACGGTTGACGTCTCTAGAACTCTACTGCTACGGTTGACGTCTCTAGAACTCTACTGCTACGGTTGACGTCTCTAGAACTCTACTGCTACGGTTGACGTCTCTAGAACTCTACTGCTACGGTTGACGTCTCTAGAACTCTACTGCTACGGTTGACGTCTCTAGAACTCTACTGCTACGGTTGACGTCTCTAGAACTCTACTGCTACGGTTGACGTCTCTAGAACTCTGCTGCTACGGTTGACGTCTCTAGAACTCTGCTGCTACGGTTGACGTCTCTAGAACTCTGCTGCTACGGTTGACGTCTCTAGAACTCTGCTGCTACGGTTGACGTCTCTAGAACTCTGCTGCTACGGTTGACGTCTCTAGAACTCTGCTGCTACGGTTGACGTCTCTAGAACTCTGCTGCTACGGTTGACGTCTCTAGAACTCTGCTGCTACGGTTGACGTCTCTAGAACTCTGCTGCTACGGTTGACGTCTCTAGAACTCTGCTGCTACGGTTGACGTCTCTAGAACTCTGCTGCTACGGTTGACGTCTCTAGAACTCTACTGCTACGGTTGACGTCTCTAGAACTCTACTGCTACGGTTGACGTCTCTAGAACTCTACTGCTACGGTTGACGTCTCTAGAACTCTACTGCTACGGTTGACGTCTCTAGAACTCTACTGCTACGGTTGACGTCTCTAGAACTCTGCTGCTACGGCTGACGTCTCAAGAACTCTACGGTTGGTGGTTAAAGAAGGAAGTCCTGGAAGCTACAGAGCTCTACGGTTGGTGGTTAAAGAAGGAAGTCCTGGAAGCTACAGAGCTCTACGGTTGGTGGTTAAAGAAGGAAGTCCTGGGAGCTACAGAGCTCTACGGATCGATCTATCAATACAATCTAAAACGATATCACGTGTTAAGCCAAGCAAGCGAATAGAGAAATTGTTCTTGCGCAACATGTCTTATCAATAGTAATCTTGTTGTCAACGGTGTTTGACTGTGGCTCGAACATGCACTGACTGCACCAGATCACATTTAGACAAAGCTCGGGAATTCAGGTCAAATGTTAGGGCATGCCACTAAGGCCAGTGGTACAATTAGAGCAGGCTGCAAGCAATTACACAACAGGTTTCCGATTAACCCTAAAAATGGTTTCTATTTTTTGAACGACGGCGGAGAAAAATGGCACGGGCCCAGTTGGCTTACAGGGACCAGATTAATATTGTAGACATGGACTCATTGTGTTTTGGTCCGTGTCGTCTCGTGGGTAGCCTCACGCCGAAATAAAAATAGAAATTATAGCATTAAATAAAGCGAATGAGCGATTCTTTTTTTTTTATTTTTTTTTTTTTTGAGAAATCGGAAATAGCTTAAAGTACTACTTACTCAAAATTTGACAGAAAGAAGAGAATTAGATTTTTTTACATATATATTTTGTCTCTCTACCTGAAACAGTACTCAAGTTTTAGGCTTTTGAAAAACCAAAAGTAGAATAAGTTCCCTTTCCGGTTACCGTAAATCGCTGAAAAGTTGATACAGAACTACAAATTTTGATGTAACTTATATATGCAATTTCATTAACCTAGCTGTATCGGTACTCAAGTTATCGTGTTCACAGACATTTCATACACATACATAGGCATACGGACAAAATTGCAAAACTAGGTTTTTCCGACTCAGGGTGGTGTAAAACGTCGAGATTGTAAAAATCTGTATTTCTATTTTTTGCACGATTACAATACCTCATCCATACTTCGTACACAAGAAAGTAAAACTACCATTTTTTTTTGTAATTACATTTGTAAATGCAGAGAACTTAAGGCAACTTTACTATTTACATATATACTAAACAGATATTTTAACATCACCTTTAATTTTTTAACCAAAACTTGGATGGGTTGATTGACTTTATTTCATCATGGACACACATTTTTGTTTGCTACAAGCAACTTTCTTTTCTCAAAAATATCGTGTTCCGTGGTATTTGAAAGAGACAACAACAACACAGAGGTATGAGCCAACAACAACAACACAGAGGTATGAGCCAACAACAACACAGAGGTATGAGCCAATTACAACACAGAGGTATGAGCCAACAACAACACAGAGGTATGAGCCAACAACAACACAGAGGTATGAGCCAATTACAACAACACAGAGGTATGAGCCAACAACAACACAGAGGTATGAGCCAACAACAACACAGAGGTATGAGCCAACAACAAGAGGTATGAGCCAACAACAACACCGAGGTATGAGCCAACAACAACACAGAGGTATGAGCCAACAACAACACAGAGGTATGAGCCAACAACAACACAGAGGTATGAGCCAACAACAACACAGAGGTATGGGCCAACAACAACACCGAGGTATGAGCCAATTACAACAACACAGAGGTATGAGCCAACAACAACACAGAGGTATGAGCCAATTACAACAACACAGAGGTATGAGCCAACAACAACACAGAGGTATGAGCCAATTACAACAACACAGAGGTATGAGCCAATTACAACAAACCAAGAGGTATGAGCCAACAACAAGAGGTATGAGCCAATTACAACAACACAGAGGAATGAGCCAATTACAACAACACAGAGGAATGAGCCAACAACAACACAAAGGTATGAGCCAACAACAACAACACAGAGGTATGAGCCAACAACAACACAGAGGTATGAGCCAATTACAACAACACAGAGATATGAGCCAACAACAACACAGAGGTATGAGCCAACAACAACACAGAGGTATGAGCCAACAACAACACAGAGGTATGAGCCAACAACAACACAGAGGTATGAGCCAACAAGCTTACAGGCTGAGAGTATCAAAACGTGCTGTGAAGATCAATGGCTAATGTTAGGGAAATGATCAATAGCAATTAAACTGCAATGAATGGGTCACATGATGTACGACTGAAATCTGTTTAAACAGTCAGGTATCTTTGTCCATAAGCAGTTAGCTAGGCCGGTACAATTAAAGTGATTATGTAACATATTGCTGAGGTCAGAAGGTCAGAGTTAATTGGTCCAGTTGCCATATCCAGACAGGACCATCTCAATGTTGTAAACAACTTGACAGCTGTGAAACCAACACACCCAATCTGATTGATTTTGACAGATCGATCAGGTTTATTAATTTGCATCTAGACAAAAAAATAACCATTTTGGTTGTTGTTAGAAGCAGAGACTTAATCCGTGACAAGGAGCCAGAGAGCCAAGGAGCCAGAGAGCCAATGAGCCAGAGAGACAATGAGCCAGAGAGGCAAGGAGCCAGAGAGCCAAGGAGCCAGAGAGCCAAGGAGCAAGAGAGCCAAGGAGCCAGAGAGCCAATGAGCCAGAGAGACAATGAGCCAGAGAGCCAATGAGCCAGAGAGCCAAGGAGCCAGAGAGCCAAGGAGCCAGAGAGCCAATGAGCCAGAGAGACAATGAGCCAGAGAGGCAAGGAGCCAGAGAGCCAAGGAGCCAGAGAGCCAAGGAGCCAGAGAGCCAAGGAGCCAGAGAGCCAATGAGCCAGAGAGACAATGAGCCAGAGAGCCAATGAGCCAGAGAGCCAAGGAGCCAGAGAGCCAAGGAGCCAGAGAGCCAATGAGCCAGAGAGACAATGAGCCAGAGAGCCAAGGAGCAAGAGAGACAAGGGGCCAATGAGCCGGAGAGACAATAAGCCAGAGAGACAAGGAACCAGAGAAACAGAGCTTGCTTTTTAAATTATACAAGATCATCGCTTTGACAGTTGGTGTGTTGTTGGATTCAAGCTTACAATGTGCTATCATCTTATTGTTTTGATGGGTTCAAGTTTTAAATCGACACATTTATTCTGAGCTGCGTGGTTGTTTTAATGATTGAACCATCATTCTACACTCCAGTCTATGCTTTATCTACCCCGACATTCAAGTGTATTGTAAGTGTTTAAGGAAATGGAGACATTTAAAACCAACTTCAATATATTTCATTAGACTGAAAAGTATCATTTTTGGAAAAGTACAAAGTTTCGAGACGTTTTTGTTCTATTTATATAATTCCTTGTGGTGTAAAATGTACAATCAGAGAGGGTATCCATAAAAAAGCGAGTCAATAGGCCGCCATTGGTCTTCTTTGACCATCAGTTTTAACACATGAGGGTTAGCGATGGCTGCTGCAGACATCACGAGCTCAAGTTTTAATCACGCTTTCAAATCTTATAAGCGCCATAACGGTCTTGTGTGGTCAAATTTTACATTAGTTATAACTAGCCAGAGATTTTTGGTCAAAAGATTACAATTATATTTAGCCGGAGATCTTTGAGGTGGTCAAATGTTACAATTATTATAACTAGATCTTTGGTCAAAATATATAACTAACGTTAGGTCTTCAGGTGATAATAGTTTTACAATTATTACAACAACTAAACTAGCCACAGTTCATTAAGGTGGAGAGCTGACAAGAAAATAGACGCATCACAACACACTGTACACACATACACACACACTGTACACACAACCTACCTTGGGTGTTTTCACCTGGCTACCAGTCCTCGTGTCTTTGATTTTTGTTATATCCAGGTAGTCCATCTCCTGGTGATGTGGATAGAAACACAGTGTAGTCAGCTGTTTGGTAACTCATTGACAGCAGTCTTTGGTGTCACCAGTTTAGGTAAGTCATTGACAGCAGTGTTTGGTGTCACCATTGACAGCAGTGTTTGGTGTCACCAGTTTAGGTTAGTCATTGACAGCAGTGTTTGGTGTCACCAGTTTAGGTAAGTCATTGACAGCAGTATTTGGTGTCACCAGTTTAGGTAAGTCATTGACAGCAGTATTTGGTGTCACCAGTTTAGGTAAGTCATTGACAGCAGTGTTTGGTGTCACCAGTTTAGGTAAGTCATTGACAGCAGTGTTTGGTGTCACCAGTAAGTCATTGACAGCAGTGTTTGGTGTCACCAGTTTAGGTAAGTCATTGACAGCAGTGTTTGGTGTCACCAGTTTAGGTAAGTCATTGACAGCAGTGTTTGGTGTCACCAGTTGGGTAAGTCATTGACAGCAGTGTTTGGTGTCACCAGTTTAGGTAAGTCATTGACAGCAGTGTTTGGTGTCACCAGTAAGTCATTGACAGCAGTGTTTGGTGTCACCAGTAAGTCATTGACAGCAGTGTTTGGTGTCACCAGTTGGGTAAGTCATTGACAGCAGTGTTTGGTGTCACCATTGACCCCAGTGTTTGGTGTCACCAGTTGGGTAAGTCATTGACAGCAGTGTTTGGTGTCACCAGTTTAGGTAAGTCATTGACAGCAGTGTTTGGTGTCACCAGTTTAGGTAAGTCATTGACAGCAGTGTTTGGTGTCACCAGTTGGGTAAGTCATTGACAGCAGTGTTTGGTGTCACCAGTTTAGGTAAGTCATTGACAGCAGTGTTTGGTGTCACCAGTAAGTCATTGACAGCAGTGTTTGGTGTCACCAGTTGGGTAAGTCATTGACAGCAGTGTTTGGTGTCACCAGTAAGTCATTGGCAGGAGTGTTTGGTGTCACCAGTTGGGTAAGTCATTGACAGCAGTGTTTGGTGTCACCATTGACCCCAGTGTTTGGTGTCACCAGTTGGGTAAGTCATTGACAGCAGTGTTTGGTGTCACCAGTAAGTCATTGACAGCAGTGTTTGGTGTCACCAGTTTAGGTAAGTCATTGACAGCAGTGTTTGGTGTCACCAGTTGGGTAAGTCATTGACAGCAGTGTTTGGTGTCACCAGTAAGTCATTGACAGCAGTGTTTGGTGTCACCATTTGGGTAAGTCATTGACAGCAGTGTTTGGTGTCACCAGTAAGTCATTGACAGCAGTGTTTGGTGTCACCATTGACCCCAGTGTTTGGTGTCACCAGTTGGGTAAGTCATTGACAGCAGTGTTTGGTGTCACCAGTAAGTCATTGACAGCAGTGTTTGGTGTCACCATTGACCCCAGTGTTTGGTGTCACCAGTTGGGTAAGTCATTGACAGCAGTGTTTGGTGTCACCAGTTTAGGTAAGTCATTGACAGCAGTGTTTGGTGTCACCAGTAAGTCATTGACAGCAGTGTTTGGTGTCACCAGTTGGGTAAGTCATTGGGTTACAGAGAATGGTGAGAATCACAGAGAAATATTCTCAATAATACTTTCACACCTGACTGCATTAAGCAGAGAAAAAGACAAATATAACTTACTTTATTTTGATCTTTCCAGTACAGTATTTGTCCTTTCTCATCCACTCGTAATGTGACTGGTGTACCAAGTTGGGAGCTCTGTAAATCAGACAAGACTTGCATTAGATAAACGTGACAACATAGGGTTGGCTGGGTCAGACAAGACTTGCATTAGATAAACGTGACAACATAGGGTTGGCTGTTGGTTGTGTCAGACAAGACTTGCATTAGATAAACGTGACAACTTAGACAAGACTTGCATTAGATAAACGTGACAACATAGGGTTGGCTGGGTCAGACAAGACTTGCATTAGATAAACGTGACAACTTAGAGGGTTGGCTGTTGGTTGGGTCAGACAAGACTTGCATTAGATAAACGTGACAACTTGGGTTGGGTGATTAGCTACACGTGACAGGTTGGGTTGGGTCATTAGCTACACGTGACAGCTTGGGTTGGGTCATTAGCTACACGTGACAGCGTGGATTGGGTCATTAGCTACACGTGACAGCTTGGGTCATTAGCTACACGTGACAGCTTGTGTTGGGTCATTAGCTACACGTGACAGCTTGTGTTGGGTCATTAGCTACACGTGACAGCTTGTGTTGGGTCATTAGCTACACGTGACAGCGTGGATTGGGTCATTAGCTACACGTGACAGCTGGGGTTGGGTCATTAGCTACACGTGACAGCTGGGGTTGGGTCATTAGCTACACGTGACAGCTTGTGTTGGGTCATTAGCTACACGTGACAGCTTGTGTTGGGTCATTAGCTACACGTGACAGCTTGTGTTGGGTCATTAGCTACACGTGACAGCTTGTGTTGGGTCATTAGCTACACGTGACAGCTTGTGTTGGGTCATTAGCTACACGTGACAGCGTGGATTGGGTCATTAGCTACACGTGACAGCTGGGGTTGGGTCATTAGCTACACGTGACAGCTGGGGTTGGGTCATTAGCTACACGTGACAGCTTGTGTTGGGTCATTAGCTACACGTGACAGCTTGGGTTGGGTCATTAGCTACACGTGACAGCGTGGATTGGGTCATTAGCTACACGTGACAGCTTGGGTCATTAGCTACACGTGACAGCTTGTGTTGGGTCATTAGCTACACGTGACAGCTTGTGTTGGGTCATTAGCTACACGTGACAGCTTGTGTTGGGTCATTAGCTACACGTGACAGCGTGGATTGGGTCATTAGCTACACGTGACAGCTGGGGTTGGGTCATTAGCTACACGTGACAGCTGGGGTTGGGTCATTAGCTACACGTGACAGCTTGTGTTGGGTCATTAGCTACACGTGACAGCTTGTGTTGGGTCATTAGCTACACGTGACAGCTTGTGTTGGGTCATTAGCTACACGTGACAGCTTGTGTTGGGTCATTAACTACACGTGACAGCTTGTGTTGGGTCATTAGCTACACGTGACAGCGTGGATTGGGTCATTAGCTACACGTGACAGCTGGGGTTGGGTCATTAGCTACACGTGACAGCTGGGGTTGGGTCATTAGCTACACGTGACAGCTTGTGTTGGGTCATTAGCTACACGTGACAGCTTGGGTTGGGTCATTAGCTACACGTGACAGCTTGTGTTGGGTCATTAGCTACACGTGACAGCTTGTGTTGGGTCATTAGCTACACGTGACAGGTTGGGTTGGGTCGTTAGCTACACACGACAGCTTGGGTTGGGTCATTAGCTACACGTGACAGCTTGGGTTGGGTCATTAGCTACACGTGACAGCTTGGGTTGGGTCATTAGCTACACGTGACAGCTTGTGTTGGGTCATTAGCTACACGTGACAGCTTGTGTTGGGTCATTAGCTACACGTGACAGGTTGGGTTGGGTCATTAGCTACACGTGACAGCGTGGATTGGGTCATTAGCTACACGTGACAGCTTGTGTTGGGTCATTAGCTACACGTGACAGCTTGTGTTGGGTCATTAGCTACACGTGACAGGTTGGGTTGGGTCGTTAGCTACACACGACAGCTTGGGTTGGGTCATTAGCTACACGTGACAGCTTGGGTTGGGTCATTAGCTACACGTGACAGCTTGGGTTGGGTCATTAGCTACACGTGACAGCTTGTGTTGGGTCATTAGCTACACGTGACAGCTTGTGTTGGGTCATTAGCTACACGTGACAGGTTGGGTTGGGTCATTAGCTACACGTGACAGCGTGGATTGGGTCATTAGCTACACGTGACAGCTTGTGTTGGGTCATTAGCTACACGTGACAGTGTAGAGGGTTAGTTGAAAGACGCAGAAGAGTCGCATCTAATAAAAAGCCTAGTGCTGGGGATACACAAGCAACTGTAGAGTCGACCAGTTTACAACAACTGAAACTTTAAAGATAGTTAATGCCCGTAAACTGTTGGTCTCATGGTTTCAAAGTTTAAAATAACTATGTGCCCAGCCACCAACAGTTTGAGATCAGCTGTTCAAACAGAGAGCCCCAATACAAGTACAATGGGTGCATTCTTTTTTCGCTTAACTGGCCAGTCCTAATCATTGTCTGCCGTCGGGCGTTCTAAGTTAACATGCACTTGCCATAGTTAGGCTATGGTAGGTATCTGGGACTGTAGCATTCATAAAATTAGCACCTAATGGGATGTTAGGCTATGGTAGGTTTCTGGGACTGTAGCATTCATAAAATTAGCACCTAATGGGATGTTAGGCTATGGTAGGTTTCTGGGACTGTAGCATTCATAAAATTAGCACCTAATGGGATGTTAGGCTCTGGTAGGTTTCTGGGACTGTAGCATTCATAGAATAGCACCTAATGGGATGTTAGGCTATGGTAGGTTTCTGGGACTGTAGCATTCGTATTAAACTAATAGTGTGGTATGTTGCTCAAATTGAACAGCCTTTTCCATACCCTGTCTTGCAATTTAGTATAGTTAAACCTATTGGTATGTGGGTGTGCACGTATAAACAGTGAATTAAATCAGAATATAACTGTTTCCTTCTCTCCGTACTAAGTAATAGCTGTCAATTGCTTCTAATAATTAGTTGAGTGACCTGGTGTTAAGTTAGTAATACATGAATACGCTACAAAAGTAATAAAGGAATGTGCTAGAATGTGCCAGATTTCCATTCGCAACTAAAGTTGATTTGTAGTAAGTTGTTAATATTTTATGCTTAAAACCAGCCATTCAATTGTATAAATCTCACAACCCACACTATTTTAATAAGACGAAAAACGACGATGGATAAAAATAGTTTGTTTATTTTAGAAAGATGGAGAGAAGAAATGGAGAGAATAAAGTGTCAATCAGAGAATCTGGAAATAACCCCTGGATATTTGTAGGGATACCTCGCTATTCGTCCTAAGTAGTTGTGACGCATAAGGCTTCTTTGAGAACTTTTAACTGACTGGCGGATGGTGATATTTCCTGATAATGGCAAGGAGTGATTTCCCTTCATTTACAACCTTTATAGGTTTGCGCCCTTGAATTAATTAGTGTCATCCGAAAAAAATCAATACGACTGTAATGAGTTTATGGCTGGGGTGGGATCAAACGGTTGGGAAGATGAAAATAAAATTCCGCATAAAAAACTAGACAACTGCCCTGATCCGCCGTTCTATAATTGGATTCAGGTTTATTTCAGCTCCTTGTTGTGTTGTAGTTTTATTTACGTCAACAAACTCCATTCTCCTGCTTTATAAAAGGTAATACGTTTTATTTCGAGGAAATATTGCGTCATCAGTTGTTTGTGTTATTTAACCGGTGAGGTTTTGCGTCATGTTCTATACGCCGCTATTGCGGTGACTGGTGTGGTAATGTGGAAAAGATAAAAAGGTATAAAATGAAATAGTGTTTTTGTTTATTGTTTTTTTAGGGGGGGGGGGGGGGGGTAGCACGTATGGTTCGTGAAAATAGTTGTTTGAATATATTGTATTGTTTGAAATGTTGAAACTTGGTTTATTAGGCTATTTGAATAAATATGAAAGAAGTAAGGAGCATTCATCAAACAGCCTTACTGTACAAAGAGGTGTAAGTTTGGTAAATAATCAAAGGAAGTAAGAGTGTGACATCAAGTCAATACAAGCACACGATGACAAGCTGAGGACGTGCACAAGCCAAGGACAAAGGCAATCAATGAACAAAAACTATCCAAGGATATACAGAGTGACATGTTATATCCAGTCCAAGGACTCACGTGCTATTCGAAGTCTAAGGACACACAAGCTATTCGAAGTCTAAGGGCACACATGCTATTCGAAGTCTAAGGGCACACATGCTATTCGAAGTCTAAGGACACACATGCTATTCGAAATCTAAGGGCACACATGCTATTCGAAGTCTAAGGGCACACATGCTATTCGAAGTCTAAGGACACACATGCTATTCGAAGTCTAAGGGCACACATGCTATTCGAAGTCTAAGGGCACACATGCTATTCGAAGTCTAATGGCACACATGCTATTCGAAGTCTAATGGCACACATGCTATAGCCAATTTGAGGAGACTAAGCCACGACAGGGACACATGGCAATCCGAGGTTACAATTACCATCATTCGAAACAGATGAAAAACTGCCAGAACTGAAGGAAAGCGTGTTTTATAATTGATAAGGGTGCACCAAGTCATGTAGAAGCCGGACAATACAATGCGAGAAACACTACGTGCCCGTGACTTTCTTCACATTGGTTGTAAATATTTGATGAGTCTTGGGCAGACGTATGGTACACTGTGGCACGGTGTCAGAACAGCCGTGTGGTACACTAACACGGTGACACAACAGCCGTGTAGTACACTGTGGGACGGTGACAGAGTAAACAGCTGTAACACTACTATCGGTGATTTCGTAAGCAATCTTGCCAGGTTTTGGTGTGCGCGAATATAGATGCGTGAATGTGACCCAGAATTGTGGACAGGTCCTAGTTTCTGTTAATATCACACCCCACCTCCATTTGGCTATAGATTCCTTAGGACACTACCTAAAAGGATGAGTTTAAGAACGACCAAGACCGACTTGAAGCGTGTATAAACAGGGTGTATTGTCGTCAGCTTGTGTATCTTGCAACTTACAAGGACACCAAACTGAGTTGACGCCGTGGGTATAGACATTACGCAAACCGCGAGGTTCGTTCGAAACG